TCAGCAGATCCCTCGTGGCCCCAACACGCCCTTCTCACATCGATGCAGGATTTAGAATCTGAACACATTGCATGGTTGAGCAAAGAGGTTGTGATCAGCGAAAGTCTCGGGTGAATTGCAAAGCCTGCCGGTCAACTGCACTGCGTATGCAGACCCATTGAGGATTTGTTGTGGCATAGCTTCACGCCTTTTTATATGGTTAGCCGGCAATTGATCAGCAAAGACTGACAATAGAAGCTTTCCTCAAGCTTCTGGCTCATCCGTTGCTTCTTTGCGGGATCATCGCATTCAACCTTGAGATTTGCTACTTTTGGCAACACGTGGATTCGTCCCACGATCAATATCGTCATCCACAATTCTCCGCTGAAAATCTTTGCAGTAGCCGCCGGATTGGCTATTGAAAGGTGGTGGGAGCAGACTGGGGAGAATGTTCGCCAGCTTGGCCGCTCAAATTACCTCATGCTTGGGTTATAAGTGGCCAATCGTCTCTTTCTAAGTCGGCTTCTGAGGAGGCCTTCGGTGATGCAGGGAACATGATTAATGACAGCTCAACTTGAACTGAGCTGTGTCAAGGTCCCTGGGTCCTAGACCTTTCAATCGACGCGCCATAATGACAGTCGAAGAACAGCAGGCTGGTGATACCATTGGTAATGTGTCCCAGGCAGAAGGGCCACAATGCAATCTGAAGCTCCTGTCACCCTTTTGGTAACACCTCGACAATGTCAGAAACAAGAAACATCTCGGCTTTCCGCTTCAAGTTCGGTTGTGACTAGTCCTCGGCAAGTTGGGGCAGGTCTTGAGAAGCCTTGGTGGATGATGAGGGGTTCCAATAAAGCCCTAAACGAGGAGCTCACAGGCTGTATCCCTCGCTATTGCCGAGGCATGTTAATTGGTATGAGGCTGCACCAGCCTTGTCGTTGAACGTGTCCACTTTCATCTTATTCTAATCTTCCGTGACTGCTGTACAATCAATCAAGATAGTTGCGTATTTCAAGGCAAATGAATATTTGAAAGCTGTTTGCGCAACAAGACTCGCCTGGTCTATACCGGCCTCACGTAAGACAGCATCAAACAGCTGTGCCTAAAGGAAGCCCATCATGACCATTGACGATACGGCCCAGGGCAAGACGAAGGCAAGTGCCCGACTTGATCAGATCCAGCAACAGGTTTCGGGGAAATCGAATCTCCGCCGCCAGAAGAAGGCGAAGGCAAGTGAAGGTCCGGCAGATTGGTCCGACGTGCTCGCGGAACTGGACCAAGTTCGAAAACTCGCCCAAACTCCAAAAACCAACACCACCGGTTACATTCGTCACAAAGAGGCAGGGAAACTATGGGTTAGGGAAAGGGTGGAAATGCTCCTTGATCCGGGAAGTTTTCGAGAAGTTGGGAGCGCCGCGGGTACAGCTACATGGGTTAAAGCGAATCCCTCGACAGACAACATCGTTGAGGCGGAAAAGGAGGTCATTGCCGATTTCGTCCCCAGCAACAATGTCCAAGGTAATATGGTCATCCACTTACGCCGTGCCAACTGACAGTTATTCAGGTTTTGGCAGCATCCGTGGTCGAAGAGTACTGTTGACTGCGGACGACTTCACTCTCCGCGCGGGCCATGCGGACGGCGCACTGATGGCGAAGACACTGTATATGGAAAAACTCGCGGTGCACATGAAGCTCCCCATGATCAAATTAGTTGACGGATCTTCGGGTGCGAAGGCGATTGTCATATCTTGTTTGTTCTCACATGCTTATGTGTCATAGGCGGTGGGTCGATAACTACGTACCGAGTCCAGAAAGCATCTTACATTCCTCAATTGGAACTGTTACCATGGGTGGTAGGTGGTGAAAAACTCATAATCTGGAGGCTTCACTGATATATATGCAGATGCGGCAATTGAATCTGGGCATTCCGAATTGTGCGGCTGTGGTCGGTCCGGCCGTTGGGCTGGGCGCTGCGAGAGCTGCCGGATGCCACTTCTCCGTCATGGCGAACGACATTGGGTCACTCTTCAACGCCGGACCAAAAGTGGTTGAAGGGGCCACCTTTGAAGAAGACCTGAGGTTTGTATCGTCGATCATTGCGGTCGCGCCAGTCTCTAACGTACCAACAGTCCAAAGGAACTTGGCGGAGCCGATATTCATTGCTGCAATGGAGTTATCGATAACTTAGCGGCAGACGAGCGTGGCTGCTATGATCAAATAGCACAATTCTTGCAATACGTACCGAACCATGGCGGCGTACTACCGCCTGTTTTGCCTTCGACGGACGAGCCCAACCGGTTGTGCCCTGAACTGAGGGAGGCGATACCTAGAAGACGGCAACGTTCCTACGACGTCAGGTCGATTATCAACCATCTTGTTGACAGGGACTCTTTTTTTGAAATTGGTCGACTCTGGGGCAGAACGGTCGTGGTGGGTTTAGCCCGTTTAGGAGGCAGGCCGGTGGGCATTTTCGCAGAGTACGTCCCCTTCCTTCTTGATCGAGTGTAGCTTTCTTTCGTCGGAGGAACTATGACTACTCTACCGCTTCGATGCAAGCTAAGAACAGTGCATAGTGATCCTCAATTCAATGCCGGAGCCATGGACACGCCCGGCTGTCAGAAACTAATGAAGCATATCAAGCTTTGCGACGTGATGGGGCTTCCTCTGATACAACTTTTGGATATCCCAGGGCATGTTCCCCAGCTTCCCGTCTCTCCTAACATAACCCCTTGATACTAACAGAACATCAGATTTGCCATCGGGACAGCCGCAGAGAGGAGTGCTTGCATGAAATGGGCAATGGAGCTTTGCAAGGTCTGTTTTCTGAGACTTCACCCATGTTCGTTTACTCATTAGTAACCAGGCCTACTTCTCCACCACGATTCCCATCTATACCATCATCATTCGGCGATGCTATGGTATTGGAGGGGCTATTCTCGTCGACAACCGAAATCCAAATTGCAGGGTTGCATGGTAAGATTGCGGTAGCGTAATCCAATGGCGTGACTGACAGAATCGAGGCCGTCAGTGAATTGGGGTTCACTTCCCCTGGATGGTGGGATTGAAGGCATGAAATTTCATCTTCCATTAACAGTGGTTTAGTCAACTAACGATTATTAGTCAATCACCGAGCCGAGCTTCGAAGAGCTGGAGATAACTACAAACAGGTCTATAACCGACTTGAAGCAGAGTACCTCAACCTTATGAATCCAGTTCGCACCGCAAACTACTTTGGGATAGAAGAAATTATCGATCCAGCGATGACGAGAACTCTGGCTTGTGAATGGACAAAGGACATGTAAGAAAAATTCCTGCTCAGTCGCTGCCCCTTTCACTGACGCAAATATCCACTGACCATCAAACTCTCTAGGTATGAAACCAATCTGCCTGAGCGACTAAAACAAAGGGACTGCGGCAAGATTCAGCCATCCTTTGCTTGACAAGAACAGGTGCATTGCAATTCTTAGTAGCCCTTCTAACTCTTTGAACATACCATTGATTATGAATGACCGCAAATAACCTCTCCAATTCGAAACAACCTTGCCTTCCAGATTCCTCCTTTCCTGCGACAAAATACTGGTTGCTAAATCTTTCGGAATTCAATGATTGTTTTGATGCGACCACCCAATCCTGGAACTTCTATCCTTATTTTCCCCTTTCTCTTTATTCATTTGTGTGAATCATTTTCATAAAATGTTCCCTCTTTATGAGGAGGAAACATCAGCTCTCTATTCCACCGTTGCCGATCTCTAGCCTTGCTTGAAACCTACCCGTGTCATGATAACCTTGACACTGAGTCAAGGGCAGGTCCTTCTCTCTTGATGATTTCTTCAAAGGCCGCTGTCAATGGCAGAAATGTCTCGCTTTCAAAACTTCAGCTTGGTGGGTCTTCGTGAAATGATCCTGACAGGTGAAAGACTACAGTGGAAGTACAAGCCCAGAAGCTATGCTTCCATAGCGATGTGACCAAAGAGTAATCGACATGCAACCATTTCAGGCAATTTACTTGAATTTCAAGATTGGCTGATTAAACCGTATATTGGTGGAGCTGGACGTCGCCTCCAAGTACCTGAAGGATAGCAGTACAGCATTGGCTAACCACGAGGAACCAAAGGTAAGGACTGTAATATGATGTGTAAGCACAACAGTGATAGCATCAACACCGACATCAGTAGTAGATCAATATGGGAACTACTTGGTATGCGGGTGATTAGTATTGTAGAACTCCAACAAGACACGAATGTCGCAACAGTCGACCTTTGGTTTTCGTCTCCAGCAGCCCCTAACCTTTAGAAGGGATGTTCAACACCTCGCTACATCACCAGTTCGCCAGTTTTCGGCGAGTTATTCGCAGACGTCTGCAAAACTCTTCGTATTTGTGAATCTCTTTTGCCATTCCGATTAGGCAAAGGTGAGGTGTTCAGCGTGAGTTTGTTTGGATGAATACTAGTAAACAAGGATTTCAACTCACCTTACTCATGTATCTCACATTGCACCATAGTCCCGACCACTGGACCGCTCCTCGTCAAGCTGAGCGGCTCATATATCGCAAAAACGAGGATCGAATAAGACAGAGGGTGGTTCACCAACTTCACGTCAGCTGCGTGTCTCTCAGGTGTGGCCCAAGAGATCGTGGTCGAGGTTCAAGTCCGTTGCTCACATCTCAGGGTGGTGGCGAGCCCGTTCATATGACCCTATCTAGTAAGTACCGTCAAATCACTTCACCCCCTCCAAGGACTGCATTCCTCGCAGCCCTCTGTGCTTACTGCAATTCCTAGGCTCGGGTTCTGAGCGGGCCCGGCCCTGCAGACCTGAGCTGTCATCAATAGTGTTAGCAAGATGTCGGGCGTTGAACCTCCTTGCTCTGTTAGAACAATTTGGAGTATATGGTATTGAATGTCGTCGCATCCTGCATTGCAAAATCTGCGCCGGCAGACGCCAACACGGTGTGAAGACGTTCAAGCTGCCACCCCTTCCCATAGAACAGAGTGAGCCGATCAGGCCGGGCTTTCGCTTTGAACATGGCTACAACCAAGTTTCGAGCTGTCATTGTTGGTGGAGGTGTTTCTGGCCTCACTCTGACAAGCGCGCTGGAAAAGTCCAAAGTAGAATATGTACTCTTGGAGGACAGGGAAGATTTTGCACCAAGTGTCGGGGCTTCGATAGCCCTCGCCGCGAATGGGGCCCGCATACTCGATCAGCTAGGATGTTATCAGACTATTGAAGGCCACGCGATCCCGTTGACCAACATTCAGACATGGATGGATGGTCGGATGCTCAGAGATTCGGATGAACTGCTCTTCAATCATAAGAGGTACGAGTATAGTTTGTGATGGCAGATATTCACTGACCCATTGACAGGTTAGGCTATCCAGTGTTTTTCGTTGATCGCCATCTTCTTCTGAGAAAACTTTATGATAATATCGAGGATAAAAGCCGCCTTCTGCTTGATAAAAGAGTGTCTGGAATTGGCCACAACCAAGAAGCCGCAACGGTTCGAATGTAGGGGCTGAACGGCATGCACCGGAGATGTGGTGATCGGTGCAGACTGAGTCCACAGCATTGTACGTCAAGAAATGTTCCGACATACGGAGGTCAACCAACCGGGCTTACGGGACGTTGAAGAGAATGGTAAGCGTTAAGGAGAAATGGACCATAAACACAGGGACTCTAACAAATTACAGCAATGTTATCAGAGTATAAGTGCATGTATGGAGTGTCCAACCCAATCGGAGGTTTGAGGCCGGGAGCCCTCTCTCAGGTGTTGGGCCATGATCTCTCCTTCTTGCACACCCTGGACAAATCAGGGCGCGTCTTCTAGTTCGTCTTCGAAAGGATGGACAAGGAACACCATCTTCCAATATCCCCAAGTTCACAGATGAGGACGCGGTGGCTTTGGCTCAGCGATCGTCGTCAGTTCTACTGAGCGGGAAAGTCAAGTTCGCTGATCTCCGGGAGAATCGCTTGCCTTACAAGCTCGTACTATTGGAAGAGGGAATGTTCCGTCACTGGATATGGGGCCGTCTTATCTGCATAGGGGACTCTATCCACAAGGTTTGGCTATCCTATGGAATTTTCGACTGTTAGCTGATCTTTACTAGTGGACTCCTAATATCGGCCAAGGGGTTAATGATGCCATCGAATCAGCAGCATGTGTGGCGAATGCTCTTGGTCGACTCGCATCGTTGCATGAAACTGCGTCAAAGAAAGAAGTTGAACGAGGCCTCGGCAGTGTTCTGAACGACGAAAAGCGCGGGGCGACGTCGACATTTTAAGAACTTAAACCTCGCTACAGGCTTGAGGTCTTACAGGCCCAAAGGAGGAACTATTGGTGCTATCTGTATTCCCACGGGTGCGTGAATGGCTCGTCAACAGAGCTGCACTTGCTGCCGTAGGTGCAGAGAAACTCGACTTCCTCCCAGACCCACCTACATCATACCAAGGGGCTATGGCCGTCAATCAGAACTACGGTCCTGGGGCCAAGAAATATCTCAAAACAAGAGCGGTCACTGCTCTGCCTCTCTTGATGTTGGGATTATTGGCGGATAAGGTATTCTCAAACATCCTCTCACAAGCTCCTTTGCAGGGCAATATCACTCAACCTTTGAAATCTGGTCAGATCGAGTTTGGTGCTCAAGCCTGGAGTCTTCCAACAAATAGCAAACCCTTCAACTTCCTTGTCACATTGTTCTCACTCTTAGTCCTCAACATCAACCCTTTGCAAAGAATTCAAACGACATCTTTTCTAATCGATCTGGCACCACTGTAGCTTGTTTTCACCTTAGAAGCCGACCGTCGCGCTAATCAGTTCAAGATTATTACGCTCCCACTCATTTTCGGCATCGCCTTCCAGTTACTAAGAATTGGCGTTGTCGGGACTGTCTGGTTCTTTCTCCCTTTTTGTTTTTTTTTTTAAAAAAAAAGAAAAGAAAAAGAACAGTGCCCTGTTTCCGACTACGCAGCAGTGGATTGGAGACTTGTCAATGTGGCTGCCGCGAATACTGCCGGTTTCGCTGTCGCCCTTACCCTAACTATCCCAACACTGGCGACGTACTCTGTTCCAGACTCTTCGCAACGTTTAATGATCAAGGCAGTCTGGCAGACATTTCCTGTTCATACTGGTGTTGCCAATTACCTCCTTCGAAAGTATGCTGTGGAGGACACTACGGCCCACGACCGCATCCACAATGCTGAGGCAGACCTACCATACGTTGGACTCACGGTATGGGCTTTTACAGGAATATCGGCAACGTTCTCCAACTGGACCCGGTCCTTTTTGGGCATTTCTTTGGCCAGGATCTTCTTTCCCGACAGTACAACATTGACATGTATCATCTTTTTGGGACAAGACCAGCTTGATCTCGTCACTGGCACGAGGCTCCTTTTGCTCCTGTTCCAGGCCGTCGAGATTGCATGTTTTGCCGCCGCATTTTTATGGCTAGCATTTCTCGCCCACGATCTTAAGCAGGCCGAGATGGCTTCTATCGGCCGGTTAAAGGCAATTATGTTTGCTATCGCAGGCACATATCTGCTCGGGTCTGGGGCTGTGGTTGCACTGACTTGGTGGTGGAGGGAGAATAACCTCGCGACGAAGACAAAGGGCTCCGTCATCGGTCGCATTGGAACAAATCCAGAATACTGTATCCTCGGCGATGAAACAGAAACGACAATGAATACTTGGTGCCTTGCGCCGTGTCCGCGGCATGCTCTAAGTGGCGGACCGTCTAGCTCAGACTTGAAGGACAATTATCATTCAGGAGGCTGTTTTCTAGATATGGCAATCGAAACATGCGGGCGGCAGGCAATACGTTCTCTTCCAATCGAGCCGTATCCAGGACTGGACCACTTGATTGGTGGCTTCTCGCCCCTCGAACTTGTCTGTTTCAAGGAATGTGCTCATCTTGGTTAAGCGTTGTGTTGGCTCATCATGAGTTGTGACATCCCCATGCTCATTTCGTGTCCTCTCGCTCTTGCCTTGTCATTCCACCAACCAACTTTGAATCCTATAAAAGACACATCCCAATATTTCTCCAGCCTCTTTTCTCTCTCATTTCCTCCCATATTTCGGCGTATCTACTCACGTCCCTTGCCTCTAGCATACCCTCTCTGCATACCCTTTCCCGACTTCTCACCACTCCTCTATCTGTAACAGTGGATGCGGGGCTCTGATCATCCAAATGTCAAATAATGCCAGACTACTCAAGTTCGCTATGGATACCGGTTCCAGCAGTGGAATGCTGTACGCCGCATTACTTTGTGACTCCCCGGGGCCTTCTACTAGCGCTAGGCAGAGAATCCCCGAAGAGTCAACCGAGTCGCGCCAGCGGGGGAAACGTGCTGGAAGACCGTGGTCATTAAAACCGCCACCGCCGGGAACTCTTGTATTGGCTGTTGATCGAAACCTCGAAGAAGTACCGATCGTCCAGGCCAAGAGAAAGGACCCGCCGGCGTGGGACAGTTCTTCAGAAAGCAAGTGCTCGAAACGCTCATTGGGACACAGACAAAACTATTCTCTCGCTCTTGAAAACGACCCAATAATGGCAAAACTGGGACAACTACAGGAACTACTGCATATCGAAGCGAGAGCAAAGCTGCAACCCAAGCCCCCGGCGAACAAGCTGGCAGAATGTTGGGAAAATGATGGAGTAGACTCGCCGTGGCTGAAAATGAAGGAACAACTCGTAGCGGAGGTCAAAGGTAGTTTTTGCTCAACGCCGAGGAACCTTTGCTGATTGAGATGGCAGAAAAATACGTACGTCTTCTCTGCGCCGAGAAGGAAGTCATCGAAAGAACTGGGGCTTTTTCAGCATCTCCAGTGAAAGAATTGGACAAGGCGCAGTGGTCAGTGCTGATCGGGCTGACGCGAACATTACCCCACGAGCAGGAAGACTTTCTCCTGGCATCCCATGATCCTGTACTTGCCAGAGTGGTGCAACGGTTAGCAGGTCATTATGAACTACCCGAGCGGCTTTGGCGGAACAGCAACAAGGCCATCCTGGAAATCTTGCAACAACGAATCCCAGATCACCTGGAGAATATGATTGCGTATGTCGACTTGTCCTTCAAGATGCTATCGCGGCTCGACACTAAATTTCCAGAACTTGGGGACCGCTGGGCCGAATGCATGCAGGACCTCGAGACTTATCGAGACTTCCTCGAAGGAATTCATGTCAACGGGTCAAATTCCGATAAGGAACTTCCACCAAGTAGCGTCGCATATCAGCATCTGGGCCAAAGCTCGGAAAACGGAGAAGCGTCATCTACTGGTGGTAGTTGTTTCTCGGACGCTACCTTCCAACTACCGCCGCAGAGAGATGGCAAACATTATTTTCCGTTCCTTGGTGCAGGACAATCCATCCATTTGCTGTTTGGAAGCGGTGGTTCAGAATCGAGCGACGACAGTCACTCCTTTGCGCCGGACAACGATTTCGGCGGATGCACCGATGACGAGACCAAGATTCAAGAAGAATTCGACCGGTGGTTCAGCGGGCTGACTCCAAAGCTGTTTGACGCCGAGGGAAAGAACAAGTGGGTGTTGCTCGGCTGGCTCCACTATGGGAAGCATCTTGCTAGGAGTTTCTGGTCGTACCAGAGGGTCTTCAAGGTACTGCTCCTGAATGTGCTTCTGTGAGGTGTGCTGTGGAGAAACAGAGAGAAAAAGAACCGACAAAGTTTACGATCAGTGGAATCTCGCACAGCGGATCTTGCGTAGTCTTCGATCCATCGACCTACCCACACTGGGCTGGCATTTTCGAAAAGCCACCCCCATATGCAGGCACAGAAAATGAACAAAAACAAGATCTCTTTTACACTTGTCAGGAGTTCTTGTTAAGGGATTTACCTCCGGATTTATCTCGATCCAAGGCTATTCATCTTCGATAGTCGACAACGCCAGGCTGATGCTGTTCGAAGAATCTAGTCTCCGCTTGCGGGGCTTCACTGTTGTACGCTATTGCATAGTTAGCATCGCAGCCACTGATTTGGTTCTCTCAGACATGTAGGCCATAAGTTGTTGAAGCTATGCCTTAGCATCGTAGATCGCCCACCCCCCTAGTGCCACGGGAAGAATTCGTACTAGTTTGACACATGAAAATGGGAGGCTCGAATAATTGGCACGTATTTGATACCTAGCCCCTTGGGGTGCCTGTAGCGAGGCCGAGGCAGATGATGATCCGGCCTATGGCGTTGAGAATGTATCTGAGATGATGTCAAGTCAGCAGCAACAGGGCGCCTTAATTGGCCCTATCTATACGCGTGATGGCTCCGAGCCTTTGATACCAAGAAGCACGCTAAGGTCGTGTCAAAGAAGGGCGTACATTTGAGCACACGGATACAAACGAATATCTCTGTAGAACCTCGCAAGGTCGACTACCTCATCGCTTCAGACGACTTTGTGATCGTTGGGAATCCTGCCACTTGCTAGCACAATGGTGCAACTCGCTCCCTTCCAACTTGCCAATGTAAGTCTCCAGACCTTCGGATTTTTTTCAGAGAGCTGTTGTTCACCTCGAGGTTTCTTAGTGGATTGAAGGCAACAAGGATAGCGCTCAATATGTCCTCGGCGGGAGCGCTGCCCCGAGCATATCGCTGGATGATCTTGTTTCTCTCTCCAATGACCCTGCCGCAACTGAGGAAGCGTTGAAGTTCCGATCCATGAAATTGAGCCTCGGGACACCGGAGGGCACGCTTGAGCTGCGCAGGCAAATTGCGAACCTGTACACCGAGGACATATTGCCGGAGAATGTCATCACTGCCCCGGGGAGCACGGGCGCCAACTTGACAGTCTTTCAGAGTCTTCTGCAGACCGGCGACCACGTAATCTGCCAGTATCCGACATATCCACAACTTCTCGCACTACCAGAAAGCTTCCCGTGTGAAATGTCCTACTTGAAACTTGATCCTGGCAACGGATGGCAGCCTAGCGTTGAAGAGCTTCGTGGATTGATCAAGCCTTCGACCAAGATGATCGTCCTGAACAATCCGAGCAACCCAACAGGTTCACATCTCGACGGGGCGCTCCAAAAGAAAATTCTGGACGTTGCTCGCGAACACAACATCATAGTGTTTGCTGACGAGATATTTCGACCACTCTATCACGTCCCCTCTGCTGCATCCACTGCCTCATTAGTGGAACATGGATACCGTAGAGTCATCGTCACGAGTTCAATGAGCAAAGTATGGGGTATGTCGGGGGTGAGGATCGGATGGATCGTATCTCGCGACCGCGAGATTCTCGACCTACTCCTAAATACGCGTCAATATACAGTCATGTCAACGGGCCTCATCGACGAAGTCGTTGCCACAGAGACGTTGAGCGATCGCTGTCGTCCACTCATCTTGAAAAGACATCTCGAATACGCGCAGGAGAATCTGGCCCTGTTAGATGCATTCATCAAGAAGAATAGCGACATGTGCTCCTGGATACGGCCAACGGCTGGAGCCATTGCTTTTGTCAAATTCTCCTCTCCAAATGGAGGAGTGATGGATGAGGTTGAGGTTTGTCAACAGCTCTTGAAAGAAAAAAGGGTGCTCATAAGTCCCGGGAGTCTCTGCTTTAGCAGAGAAAAGCAGAGTGACTTTCGCGGCTATGTTCGCATTCATTTCACGCTTATGCCAGAATATTTGAGCAAAGCTCTCGAAATCGTTGATGCCTTTCTGGCCGACAAGCGCAGAGTGTTGGGCGCGGCGCCTCGGCTATAAGCAGATAGAGAGATTTGAGTACTTATTTCCCATCCTTGGCTTTACCGCCAATATTGTCCTTTTTCACTGCAGGGATGCATTCCGAACTGTGCTGCCTAGTAATCATATCAATACGAGATGGCCCTTATGCTGCAGTCTGCAGGCTGCGCGAGTGCATCTGGGCTAGAGTACTACTTACCGAGAAGATGGCGCATTCCATCACCATGGGGGACTGACATAGACACCAGAAAGCTCCGAGACCAGCACAGTTCACAGGGTTGAGTGGAGCATTGAGCCGGAGAACGCGGTCAACTCGAGAATCTTATTTTCAAGCGTGTTTGGCGAGGACTAGCCATGATCTGTCAGTTCCGATTGATTTGGACCGTGTTGAAATCCATGCTAAAGCCCTTGTGACTCCGGCACCTGGCAGTCCTGGCAGTCCTGGCAGTCCTGGCCAGGCACTCTGTACAGGTCACACATCAACGTCGATCACGTTGAGCAAAAGCCTTTCCAGAGTTGTTCTTTTTCTTCCCGGGATAGCCGGCGCAATTTGCCGAGTTTCAAAAAGATAATTGCAAAGGTAAATCCATCTGGGGTCAATTTGACCCAGTGGCAAGCTGAAGCAGCAGTCCGCATATTTGCTTGATGCTCAACTCTCGATCCTACTTCCGGAATTGCCATGATATACGTCCTCTAAATATACTGACGGGGCACGGAGTGTTGTGTGAGAGATCGATTCGGAAGGAGCGTAAGGAGCATCATCAGATGCCGCGAGCATGAGCGCATCCATGAGCGAACTGGTGGCGACGATAAACCCATGAAAAGGGGGAAATCAACAAGAATCCCTGTACCCAGTCTTCTTGGGTCGGTAAGCACTTAATAGTCGCAGAAAAATCTCCCGGCAGACGAGGCGCACAGGGCGAGCCGATCTCGCTTGTTTTGGACGACCTGGAGAAGCCCTGGCAGCCCTGGAGCCTTGGCGAGCAGGCTTGATAAGGCCCCCCAAAGACCAATTGACGCGGCCGAGGGCACCATTTGTGCTCAAACAAGCGGGCGAGGCTTGTCATAGTTGTTTCAGACCTGGAGGCCTTCAACTCTGTAAACAATCAGCACGGCCATGAACGCGTCTGTTTGGGTGGTTATAGAAAACAGAATCGATGGGAAGTATAGACACCGTATGCAGGATAACATTCGGCACCGAATACCACTGTTTCCACTGGCACGCACAGGCTTGATACAGAAACAACATGGAGGAGGGGCGGAGAAACACAGACCACCAACCGAAACTTATGACTCGGATAGAAATATCCTCGAATTCTCCGAAGGGTGTAAGCAGTAATACTCGGTACTGGGTACGGAGGGTCGAGTACATACTGGGTAGTATGTACGTACTTTTCGCGAGGAATGTTCGATGTGGCTTGAACTATGGCGTCCAGGGTGGAAATTAGCCGAAAGATGGAGACGGCAAACATCCTCGAACACCTCGTGGGCGAGCAGGATGACGAATTCTGATTTCCCCATGTCATGATTCTTTGTCCCAAGCTGCTTCGGTTCTTCCACAAACCGCAAATGCAGCCGGGGTCACAGCTCATCTTTCCCAGAACACTGCACCCAGGTCTTTCGTCCAGGTAGCTCTTGTGCCAGGTGGGTGAACGCCACAAACTATATACGTACATAGCTCATGGGCCTCCACAGCCTTGGGCCCTCAATCCTCCTATCCTTGCTCCGCCATACCCGACAAATCCCATCTAGATGAGGCCGATATTCATCCCCCCGTCCACCGCCTTCTAGGAAGCTTGTTTGTTTCAAGCTACAAACCCAGCTTTGTACCGCTTCCCCCGCTGCCAAGGGATACCTCTGCGAGCCACATCTGGGTATTTTGGAGGCCGGCATCTCCAGCCGTATGGGTGGATCAAAGCAAACTACAAAGTAGTCGCACACCCACTGACGCCCTGACAAGGCCTCGATGCTTCATCGCACCAATGGCGCACCTTCGACAATCGAAATCGATCTCAGCCGCATGGTCAAAACCGCCACGGTGGTTGGTGGCTGTCGTGACAATTTCGGCATCTATTTAGTTCGGACCTCGTCCCTCTAGAGCCAATAGCCGAAGACGTATTGCGCCATCTCGCCGATTTCGAGGGTGCGCTCATCTCAATATACGTCGGAATCTAGGCGAATTTCCATAGTAAAAGTTCTCCAGCCAGCCTTGCAGGGACAGGGACAGGGACCCAACGTGTCGTCTTCCACGTTGACAAGCTCCTCAGCCCTTGGAGGGGACATCGGGGTCCGCGACATTCATGTCCTGGTCCACGGTGATGACTGTCTTAATAAGAAGGTGGATGGGAGAGCGAGAAGGAAATGCCCATCAGACCTTGTCCACCTCTCTTGTTGAATAGCCATTGTCAATATGTCGACCATTAGAGACACGCCGGCTGGCCAATTCCTGCGTCTAATTGGGTTCAAGTCATGGCTGTATTATCCAGAGGAAGTCACCGATTTCGAGTTACCTAACCTGCCTTTTGTCTCGGAGGAAGTCCTCCCTCCCTTAGGCGACGATGCCAGCGAAAAGGACATTGAGAAGCATCTCCCCAGTGTCTCGGCCAGGTTGGCCACTCCTCCTGACGGGCTCTCAAGCGCCATGTCGCAAAAGGCTCTGACAGAGCCCATTGTGGTCTTCTTCACCGAGAACGACAACGAGAATCCCCGAAACTGGTCTGGAGCGAAGAAGACATGGACCGTCACCGTGATCAACGTTTATACTTTCGTCGTCTACTGCACGGCTTCGATCATCACCCCCACTGCCGGCTTCATCGTGGAACGATTCAATGTCTCGGTTGTTGTTGCCAGTCTTGGTCTATCGATGTACGTCGTCGGTTGTAAGTCAAGCCCCCGCTCACACTTATTTTCGGATTATATTGATATTAATAAAATGTTTAGATGGAACTGGCC